ATAAATAATTTATCGCATCCATTATCTCTTGGTTACTGGCCTCCATTATATATAGAGGAATATAAAGACATAATACAAAATCTTACCCGAGATCGAATTAATTTAAATTAATAAAAAACACAGTAGTGTATAATATTTTTATTTTAAATAATATCGAGGTTAGTAACGGAGAGATGTCTAAAAAAAGGGGTCAATCGCGCATATTATACACTACTTGTCTTAAACAGGGTATACATTTCACCGGAAATTACCTCAAATTTAGATAAAAGACAGAGATAGATTTTTTTTGTGTGTGTCTTGGACAGTGTAATATTTTCATTAGAAATACCGTAGAAATACAGTATAGAAATACCGTTTCACTGTACCAGATTAACGTGTTATCAAAAACGTCTTATCGTGTTTGATGGATGTATAATTGCAGTTTTAGGAGTAAAATGACCTCAAAGCGCCAATTTTTTTTTACAAATGTTTATTATAGTGTTTCCCGACTTTGTATAATATTTGTTATGCAAGCATGGGTGCTATGAGAATTCAGCAGTATGTGGGCGTTGGCTCCGCGAGTGCGCGCGCAATCGAACGTTCAAAAGTAGGCAGTAACCTAGGACATTGGTTCTTTCTTTCGAAATTTTATAATACTTTCAACACTAGAGATATGTAGCTTTTATGATGGCACTTTGTCAAAGTAACCGGTGGAATATTTTGTGCTTGAGTGTTTGATAAAACTGATTATATAAAAGCAACCAATAGGACGTCAGCCGCTTTCGCAGGGAAAACTGCACGATTTCTTTTCAGAATGCTTGTGTTAAGTCAGCATACAGTAATGCAAAAGTAAGCGATATCAAGCATCGAGTAATTCTTGTATAATTGAGTTGACGTGTTCGAAATAAATGCAAACTGTTTCGACTGAAATTAAACTGCTATTTTCAACAATAACACTGTGAAGCACTGATTGCTGCATTATGTAAAATTGAATGGAGCTCTAGTTGAGCAAGAGAAAACAAAAGAAATAGCATGTTTAAAAATAGTATAACGACCTTTTTAACTCGAAGATTGCGAAGCAATCGAAGAGTTATTGGAGGGGGACGAATCTGTCACTCACTCACTCACTCACTCACTCACTCACTCACTCACTCACTCACTCACTCACTCACTCACTCACTTTCCTGTAAACTTGAGCCTGCGTTACTTGTGTTCAAAACTATTTATTTATTCTCATTGTTCTCTATTATTTTTTTCATTAAGTTGCCGTTTCCGGGTTCCCTGTTCTATATTTGATTTTATTTATTTATTTTTTGGTAAAGAAAGGAATCTAAAGAAATGTCAGCTCCTCTGAGTCTTGAACTTCAGACCTGTGAATTAAGCCCCGTCTAGACAAGCAATTTTTATGTGACAATTTTTAATTGCCCGCGGTAGATGAGCAAAATTGGACAAATTTTATGTGACAACTGTAGTTACTGGAAAGCTGGCATGCTAGTTTTTATGTAATTGTCACATATCGATAATTTCCCGTGTGGATGAGCGTCACATAAATGTGGCAATTATTTCGACGTCACACTGAATCCAAGTCTCAACATTTTGCACACCAACCAAGATGGNATTTTACATATTTGTGGCTAAAACAAAAGTCAAACTTAGTAGTTTTTGGGTAATTTCATCAGTAATGAATGTGGAGAAATGAAGCCATAATGTAACTTTAAGCTCTTTATGTTGGAAGCCCACGTGATCATGTGATCACTAGTATTCGTCGATTTGCTTCACCTTTGCTCTGGTATTCTGGTTTTCCTTGCGAATAATTTTTATTAGGCAAACTCAATTTTTTTTCGCCCACCAACATTGAAATTTATATTGTTTGCTTAATAATTGAACTCCAAGTTTTCTTAGGGATTTAGTTGTTATTGTCTTTTGACACTTGCGGTGATTTTATTTGTTTTTCGGATCCAGATGTAGCGCTTCTGGTCGTGGCAGCATTTACTCATAGTTGTCGCTCGAGTGGTATTCATCTCACCGGCGCTCGCTTGTGTTTATCCAGAACCGAAGTTAAATTATAAAACTATATTCATAAATCGTTTATTTAAAATTCTATTCGTTAAGTAATTATAATTGATTCATCATTATATCTTTCTGTATTCGTCTGCATAATCAATCTTCGAGTTGTGTTGCCATTGGCGGCTTGATTACGTATGTAGTGTTTTATTAAGGCTTTAAATGAAGTAGAGTAAGTTTTCCCTGCGAGAGCGGCTGACGTCCTATTGGTTGCTTTCGATTGTACCCTCCCCCGCCTCGTCTCGCAATTGTTGAGCAATGTCCCCCGTAGATTTAAAGTGTTTATTACCCCTGTGCCTCCGGACCAAATTAGTTATAGCCAGCATTACTTTAGTCCGAATATTAGAATTCAATGGTCGATAAAAATAACTTCCCGAAAAGCAATTCACTGACGAAGACCTTCAAAGGAATCCTTTGACATTCATGTTTATTGTGGAGCAGTTAAATGTGGACAAAAGTATGGATTTTGACAAAAACATCGAGTGCAAGTAGAGTTACTGTTGGAAATCTTTGCGTGTAGTTTCCGACCTTGTATTAATTAATATAAGTAGGTTAAACAATGGCATATCAAAAATGGCGTAAAACCTCTTAAAAACGAAAAGATCTTCAACCAGGAAGGTAAGAGACGGTTTATTTATGTTAGAATAATATTATTTAGGCAAAAAAAAAAATTGTCCGAAAAACATAGTTATACTAGTTATTGAGCCTGGGTTACCTGTGCTGCGACCCACCCTCCCACCCACGTGCTGACTTATTGGTTTCTTTTCCAACTCTCCTGTAGCTGACTCAACAGGAGCCCATCCATACCTTAATGCTAATAAGTCAGCAATAGGGATAATGTACTGTAATGATCTATTAAATTCATCGTCTTTATCTCTTTTGTTTACATTATTGTGTCATTAATATTCATATTTTCGATTGTTCGGACTTTTCAGTCCGGTCCCAACGGGTGCGGATAATTAATCGAGTTTCGACTGTACTTTACACCATCGTGCATGGGAAACTTATGTACATTTAATAGTTCTAATAAGTCATGAATAGTTAAAGATCTTTTATGTTGGAATAAAAAACCAAATCAAGAAAGTTAGCAAATGGCAATTTTGTTGCAGTGAATCAAAATTAAAGGGATATGCAGTACTACCTTACGTAAAAGGCGCTACAGAAAAGATCCAGCGAGTTTTAAATGGCTTTAGAATCAAATCTGCTGCCAAACCAGTGTCAACTTTGAAAGAGCTATTGTCGAGACCAAAAGATTCTGTCCCTCAAGAACAGAAAAATGGCGTTATATACCAGATCTCATGCCAAGACTACAATGTGGTATGTATTGGGGAGACAGGTAGAGCTTTCGCCACACGGAAGAAAGAACACATGATTATGACCTGTGTGCTTTTACACAAATGTGACAAGTCTGCATTAGCAGACCATGCTAACCACACAGGACATGATATCTCGTGGCAGGAGTCTTCAATCCTCGCCCAAGAACCCTTTTTAACAAAAATAGTGGACGAACTCTGCCTGATTCTTATAAAGAACTCTTAACACACTAAATAGTCTTAACATTTTATCCTTTTCTATTGTAATCCAATTCTCAACTTTTGTGTTTTAATTGCGCTCCCGATTTTTCGTGCAATTTCTATGCACGCGCAGTATGTTTTAGATTTGAACTATTGCGCGCTCTTAAGCAGTTATGTTACCAAAGTGTTTTGTTTACATTTTTATCCTCACGTACGCATTGTAATTTCATTTTGCCCTGATGATGGACAAGTTGTTAGAAAGCTTGCAAAATTAAAACCAACGTAGAAGAAACAAAACTGAGTATTTACAAATTAAAACTGTTCATACATTATTAAATGTGCCATAACTTCTTTGGGAAAACAGAGGATACAATTTTAGTATATAACATTCTAGATATTCTGATCAGAAGTGAGCTGACACATCGCCATGCATGCTCTATTCAATGACAGAGCACGCTATAAAGTTTAAGACTGCAGGAATATTTTCCAGAGCAGGAAAATTTGTAAAAAAATTAATTGTAAAAATAATGTCAAGTCAGTCCTTCATCACAGTCTTGCTGCAAAAAAACCTCTGGATCCCAGAAGAACACTCAAAGTGCTTACTCTCTTGAGTGTGTTCTGATGTGTCTAATTAAATGTGTCTTTTGATTGAATTTCTTTTTGCAGTAAGAACATTCAAATGGCTTTTCTCCAGTGTGAGTTCTGATGTGACTGATCAAATTTGTCTTTACATTAAACTTCTTGTTGCAGTAAGAACATTCAAAGGGCTTCTCTCCAGTGTGTGTTCTGATGTGTTTGATCAAATGTGTTTTTCGATTAAATTTCTTGTTGCAGTAAGAACATTCAAATGGCTTTTCTCCAGTGTGTGTTCTGATGTGACTGATCAAATTTGCCTTTACATTAAACTTCTTTTTGCAGTACGAACATTCAAATGGCTTCTCTCCAGTGTGTGTTCTCATGTGTGTAATCATATTTCCCTTTTGATTAAATTTCTTTTTGCAGTTAGAACATTCAAATTGCTTCTCTCCAGTATATTTACTCCTTTTGCCATAAGAAAGCTTCAAAGCTTTCTGTTCACCTTCATTGGACAAGTCGTGCACAGAATTATCTCTTGTGCCACTGTTATTGTTACCTGTGAGCACTGTCAAATCTCCTGAGTAATTTCCATCTTCCTTGTGAAGTTCACTTTCACTATTCTTATCATTATCTTTATTGGTACCAGAGTCTGCATATGATGCTGTTGTTTTGTTTCTATTCACGTTGTTACCATTGGTTTCTTCAAGAACTTTCAGCATTGCATCAATTACATCCATGTCTGTGCTTCTCTCGTCATTGTCTTCTTCAGTTTCAATGTCTAAGTCATCTCCAACAGCAATTAAAACACCTTGTTCTTGCAGTGGAGATGTTTCTATGTGACTAATNGTAAAACAATTCAAGATTATAGTGATCAATCCTCTAGAGTTTATTAGACGTCCACAAGTTGAGAATCTGGTAAAAATCGGCATAAAAGCTGCGACTTTTCAAATAAATTTTGACATATAACCGCCACATCGAGAAATCAAGCAAACCGGAACAGCTTTTAATTGGCTTAAATTTATTGTCACGCGTCACGCATTGCAAGGAGGCGGAACGGCTCTCGATAGAAGATTGTGTCAGGCTCTCTCTCCGCCCCAAACCCCTTCGAGAGAGCCTGATACTCAGGCTAAGACGAAGTCCAAAAACTATCTGGCAAAATGTTAGCATATTATATAAAATATAGCGCAGTCATCCCGTACGTCTAAACGTTCAGCTTATTCAGACAACTTACATCAGTAGGCCATTTGTGTTCTCCTGTCACCTTGTTGTAAAYAAACAGAGTCTGTCCTGACTTGCACTTGTATTCTACCCAGTCAGTATCGGCCATCTTGTAAGAGAGGAGATTCAAACTGAGCAAAATGTTTATGCGAATAATATTATTATTCGATGTTACTTCAAACAATACGAGACAATAGGTATGAGGCAGCAATAAMTGTTTTCAGGACTCTGTGTTGTGAAATCGCTAGTATATCCCGGCAAAATAGACAGCAAGTACAACGCTTGTCGACGATTTGCTTAACAATTGGGAGATATGAAGAGAAGCCCTGGGAACGAGTCTTCTTTAAAAGAGCCTGGGATTCCTGTGTTCGATCTACGAGGTGTGTCAGTTTACACGTTGTTCTGACAGAAAATTGCAATTTTGTTGCTGCGCATCATACATTCAAAAAAAAAAAAACTGTTCATACATTAATAAACATGTTGGCAGGAACCGCAGAGTGGGGAAACTTAGCCTTAGTCATTTCCAGCTATATCCAAAACACTATTTCTGACCGCACACGTGGTCAAACGAAATCCCTGCATCTCACATTACCAGGCATACCACTAGGCTTTTTACTGACAGTGTTGAAGTTCTCTCACTTTAATGAAAAAAGTTATTAATTACAATATATGATACCAAATAACGTTCTTGACTAACCTTAAACGTTTGCTCTTGATTGCGGTAATCATTGGTGATAAGAATTTAAGCACTGATCAATCAGTATCAGTTCATAACACAACACATCTGTTTCAATTTAATACTAAACATTCAGCTTTCTTGAGCCTAACTAGACCCTGACAGCAGGGTGTACTCGTGCCCTAAAAGTGTTGAAAAGTGCTGTCTTATTCAGTACTTTTTTAAAGTGAGCTAATTTAAAACTTTTCTTGTGTTTGACCAACCATGTAATATACTGTCTTTCTCAATTTTCAAAAATAGTTCGACCGAGTTGACGCTCTAAGGAGGGTCTGGTTTAGATGTAAAGAATAGTGCTACCAAAGACATGCAGTTCATCTATACTTATAAGAAGTAACTCCTTGTTGATTAC